CCCAGCAAAGCGGGTGACTTGAGTTCATCAATAATAGTCTATTAGTATACTATCATTAGAAAGTAACCACATCATATGTCACATATATATGTTTTCACACATTTGTGCATTGATGGTAATCTGAAACTACACTGCTCTGAGCCTGTTGTGGTCATCCAGTCTTAATCACTATTCACACATATTCAGTATTTAGATTATCTTTTTGTGGGGAACCAGAGCTGTTTACCATCCACCAAGTTTCTGTGGTGCCTTTAGGTGATACACAGACAGAAGCTAATATCTCTATTCAGGTCAAGTGATTATAAAGTTCTATAATCTAAATTTATTGTAGTAAATACACTTCTAATATTTTATAGATTTGTAAAAAAAAAAAACGTTTTTTATTGTATATAAACACTACATGCATTTAATTTCTTTCTAACAAATCCCTTGCCATCACTGATAGGGTTTAAGATTCTATGCCATTTCAAAAATGTGTTGCAAAACTATCTATCATCAGCAGAACTCTGTTTCTGTCTCTAAACAAAAGTGACAAGAGTCTTAAGTGCTCACAGTTGCCTCAGGATGTTTGGAAAATTAGACTTTCTGATTTGGAGTACTGCATGTTCGAAAAGTTCTCTCTCAGTAAATTGCTTCTGCTCATTATACTGCAGGCTTTTAATAACCTGATGGTTCTTTTCTGCTAATAAATCATCTTAAATTGCAAATCAAATTAGTTTATAGTATTAATTGTGACATGCCTTTAGGTGTCCAGTGTGCATGCCTGCTTTCTCACACATTCTCAGGAAGTGCTTCACTCCGGTGGTCTCCAACATAATGTACACAGAAACCTTCCGCTTGTAGCTTGCATCCAGGAGATCTTTGAAAATGTCAATATCTGTGAACAAGTCCATGACAATTGCAATAACCTGCAAAGGTACAGGTATTAATGAAAACACAAGAACTTGGTAGCAAACAAAACTGTGATATCTGTCAAAAACATACTGACAATGATAATGCATGTAAATAAAACTGTGCACACAGATGAAAAAAATTGGTCATCCTTGAAAAACGAATTCCAAGTAATTAGAACGGCAGATCTGGAAAAGTGCATTGTACAATGTGAGGACTATTCAAACAAATATGTGTGTGTGGGGGTAATATAATTTCAATTTACAAATTATATTATCAGCATAATAATTTGTGTGCATCAAACAATCCACAGAATTCGAAAGGGTCTTTTACTTTTATGCAGCAGTATTCAAGCTGTATGAACTTTTTGAAAAACCTGATGATCATTTCCTCCAGCATGATTAAAACATTTTCAAAAGAGGATTTTGAGCTTCAATGGAAGAGATCTGATCTTTTGTAAGGTCCATGATATTTAATTTACATTTTTCAAGATCTGAAAACTTTCATGTTTTAATTAGTTTATTTAAATTATATGTATAATATAAAAAAAAAAGAAAAGAATTATAGGCATCTATATATTTTCCCATTTTACTTTCTAATTCTAAAAGTCCAAAGTTCCAGCAGTGCCCAGCCCTACACTCTCAGAAAAAAAGGTACAAAAGCTGTCACTAATATATGTACCTTTAAGGTACTAATATGTGTCCTTTAGGGGTAAATAAGGCAGTGTAGACTGTTCTTATAGTGTAGACTGTTTTATGAGCTTGAGAACACGTGCAGCTCTCTACACACGACTAAGGACTGGTCTGTCTTATTCACCAGAGGTGAGTTACGACAAAAATCACAAAATCCTAATAATATACATTCATTCCCTACCTTTTGTGCTTGGGAGATCATTTTTCTAACGACCTCTTTAATATGTGACTGACCCTCATAAGGAGGCTGAGTGTACACTTGAACACGAGTCACTCCGCGGTAGGACGCCCGGTCCGGCCACCCGATGTCCAGCAGTGGGATCGAGCGGTCCGAGCGGTCAGGCCAGTACTGAAGGGAAATCTCTTCCCCATCACTGTCTCCGAGCAGTTCAGCATTATAGTCAGGGGAACCCGGGCTATACACCTCCACAGTGTTGAGAATGCTCTCAAGTTCAAGGTCTGATAGAAAGCAGCGGATGTTGTTTGTTTGGATGTAGTCCTCATAGGCGTCCTGTCCGTCATGTATGAGTGTTTCCAGTGTGAGTCTCTGCTCCTCGCTGTAGAAGAACCCTGGCTTGGACTCGTTGGTGCGCAAGTTGATGTGATTGTCATCAAGGCACTGAACCTGTGACAGTGCCATTACTTGAGCTCAGCGGTATTTTTTAACAGCATTCAAATGGATTTGCGTATAATTGTCAAGTTTAGTTCAACTATTTTAACCGACAAGCTATTATACACAAAAGACACACGCGTACAGTGTAAGATCCGGTTGACTCGCTCCTGCTCATCAGTTAATCCTGTCAAGAGTAGCCTACTACAGTAGTGTGTGTGTGTTCACGCACAGATGCAAGAGCAGGTAAACATGCACACCTCAATCACGTGACTCTCTATCACCTAATGTTAAGAGAAACCCAGCAAACTTTACGGTGTTATTCAGTGTGAGTATATACGCCGTTTAGTAGTGGGGACGTTTTGAAAGCCAGTTTGAAGGTAAATGAGCAGATATTTCGTGCTAGACGTTTAAATTATGTATAAGTTAATGCATAATACTTCATTTTAGAATTGTTTCGTTTTGTAATGGTGAAAAATGACCCAGAAAGGCGGTGTTTTAGCATTTCAGAGCTCACTGCTCTAAAACCTGTGGTTTTAAAAACATTGAAGAAGTAGATATTAAACAGCTGTCAATACATACTTATCAAGAAAGTAATTAGTATTTGGATTCTAATATGTGTTAAAGGCACAATATGTAAGATTTTTTTTTATTAAAATATCCAAAAACCACTAGAACAGTGTTATATATTTTGCTGACTTGTGTACTTACATTATCCCAAATGTTTCGAAGAATGTTTAAATCCAGAGAAATAAGCAATTTTAACTAGTGACACGCACCGTGTCCATAGTGTCATTGTGTCGCCTGCCAATGACGTCATAACCCCTCGTTTAATATGTTGTGCGTTTTAATAGACCGGTGACGACCACACAGAGTAGCATTATAACAGAACTTTCAAATGTATCTAGTATGATAAAACAGCGCTGCTTTTTTCCCCCACATACGCACGACCGGAAGGAGCGGAAGTGGTCGACTGTGGCATAATAAAAGCTCCGCTGCTTTCGAGCCGTGTGTCGCGCTCGTTCAGCGGCCTCGTTTCGCTTTGACGGCTTTCAGCCTCACCCTGCTTCATTCTACTACGTTAATAAATCATAAGCTCATCCATGAACATGATTTCTGCCCGAGTCCCGTCGGATTGCTTCGGCTGTGGGGATGAAGAGGACAGCTCCCATGATTCCACACTCAGTCACGGCGTCATCAAACTACGCCTTTGTCTGTTTGTTTATTTTGAATACGCGCCCTCTAGCAGTGAAAAGTTACATATTGTGCCTTTAATTGTGATATGTAACAGTTTTTTTTACATTTTCTTAAAAGTTCCTAAAAGTGTCCAACAGCCACATGAAGTCTTTTGAATTAGACAACTTTTTTTTTTTTTAAAGAACCAACCACAAAAATAGTTTTCACAATTGAGGTGACTGTGTGTAATTTATGCTGTAAAATATTAAAGTAGCCACATATTTACTAATAAACCTTAAAGCAGTAGTTCACTTCCAGAGTAAAAAAATCCTGATAATTTACTCATGTTATCCAAGATGTTCATGTCTTTTTGTCCTCAGTTGAAAAGAAATTAAGGTTTTTGATGAAAACATTCCAGGATTTTTCTCCATATAATGGACTTCAATGGGGACCAACGAGTTGAAGGTCCAAATTGCAGTTTCAATGCAGCTTCAAAGGGCTCTACATGATCCCAGCCGAGGAATAAGGGTCTTAATCTAGAGAAAGGATCTGCCATTTTCTTAAAAAAATAAAAATAAAAATACTTTTTAACCACAAATGCTCGTCTTTCACCAGCTCGACTTCATGCATTACGTAGTCACGTTGGAGAGGTCACGTGTGATGTAGGCAGAAGTACCGACCCAGTGTTTACAAAGCAAACATGCAAAGAAAGTCAAATGCCCTTTACAAACAGACGAAGAGCTAACTGCGCGTGACCTTTCCAACGTGAATACGTCATGCATGATCTGTGGACACGCATCGTGTAGCTAGTGCAAGACGAGCATTTGTGGTTAAAAAGTATACACTTTTTTTTTTTTTAGAAAATGACCGATCGTTTCTCTAGATAAGACCCTTATTCCTCGGCTGGGATCGTGTAGAGCCCTTTGAAGCTGCATTGAAACTGCAATTTGGACCTTCAACTCGTTGGTCCCCATTGAGTCCATTATATGGAGAAAAATCCTGGAATGTTTTTTTCAAAAACCTTAATTTCTTTGCGACTGAAGACAAAAAGGCATGAACATCTTGTATGACATGGGGTGAGTACATTATCAGGACATTTTTATTCTGGAAGTGAACTGCTCCTTTAAAGCAATATTCTAAAATCGAATTTGAAATTCCAGAGGGAATCCATGGCTGAAAAAAAAAAACGAATTCCTTTTTTGGATTTGGAGTTTTTGGATTCAGTTGTACTTTGCAGCACATCAGAATGTCAAATAATGAAAGATTAAATATTCCGGAATGAGCTTTATAATTTCGTGACAAGTTTAGTCATTTCCTGGTTTGACCCAATAGCCATATTATGCTCTAACTGAAGATTATTGACATGTACACACTATTGTGTTAATATTCATCTATTTTCAGTCATCATAATGGTAACATTTACATAATCAAAAGAAAATAAGACAACAACAGTTATGAACAATATATACACAGAAAAAAAAGTGTAATAAATATAGCAATTGATTAAAAAAAAGGATCCAAATTTGTAAGCAAAGTGCAGCGAAAAGATTGTATTAATACAGTTCAAAATCTCCTTTTGCATTTTAATGCTCCAAAGTATGCTTGGAGTTTTTTTTTTTTTTTTGTATAATGGTGCGTGATAATTTAGGGCGTTTGGCATAAAAAGCTGACAGGTGTCATTTTAGTGTGAAGAGCATGATTATGTTTTAGTAACTGTGGCTAGATAAGTTCATTTCTGCCTGATTGCTTGTTCCAAAGTCATTTTCAAACTTAGCTTGATCATTCACGTCGTATTAAACCAATAAATGATGCTAACAATCGACTACTGATATTTACAAACAGTGTTGTTATTGTCCTTCAGAGTCAGTGATAGGTGGGCTGGACGTACTCAGGGGGGAAAAAGCCCACAAGGCCACGACAACGACCTTTCCAGCGCTGAGAATCGGAGCAGTCCAGCAGGTCTATGACATCACCCCGCAGGAAGTGCAGCTGGGAGTTGTGCTCTGGATTGAAGTCAAACAGGGCTTGTGCTTGATGGGGTCTCTGATGGGAAACAATAACAGACAAAGGTCATTATTGTTGTGCCTGCCTTTACATTTTCTACATTTAGGTCCATTTTGATATCATACATTAATTATGAAATTATAATTGCTGTTGTCAAAAAGTACAGCCGTATTTGTAAGTGTTGTCTCACCTTTAGTGTATGTTCTGTGTCCCTCAGAAAAACAGTCCTTTCCTTTGCTATGCTGTTGGTCTTGTAGAAGTCCACAAGCTGGTTTAAGGAAGGAAAGATCTCCTCCCAAACAAAGTAATAGCCATCTCTGTCCTTTAGCACCTTGAAATGCTGGACATGATCCCCATAGCTGCCAGAGGAGACAGAAATTCAGAATAAGCACACAGCACTACAGAATATCAGAGTACTTACAAAATAAGCCCTCTAGGATTTCATATATATATATATATATATATATATATATTCAGTTTTAGTCATTTTAATGCTTAATGTAAACTTATTTTATTTCAGTTAGTTGCCAATCAATGCAACATTTATTAAATCAAATTTTTTAGATTTTATTTCAGTGTTATTTCAATAATGATCTGCCATGCTTGTGTTCAGATTGTAGATGGAAACTATGTATGTCAGAACAAAGGATCTTCAACATTCCGTTTATTGCTTGCAGTTCCGTTGTGCCACAAAACAAAATTACTTTAAAAATGTATACAATTCATTGCAATGGAAATATCAAACAAATTGGCAATTCTTAAAAAAAAGCACACACACACACTTTTAAACGAAAACATTTCACAGAAAGAATTTGCTGGTTTTTGAATCACGAAAGGTTAAAAACATCCTCTTTTTACATTTTAGGATCTGTAAACAGCTATACTTAATGCAGGCCAAACATTTCACAACAATTAGTCAGCATGTCTTCCAAATAAAGTTTTGATGTTTCTTTAGTTGTATTAGGGTAGAGGCTCTGTAAATGTTATTTTCAAAGTACTGTTAACATTTAAATAATTCAGTGTTTGAAACAGCAACATTTCTTTCAACTGTATTTCTTTCGAGGGCCTGTCCTGAAATATCAAGATAAGATATCTTGATATTTCAGAGTAAAGTAGATAATACATATCTCTCTGCTTTCTGTAGGGCAGCAATAATAAAATCAATTTGTCACTCAGTTTACCTGAAAACCAAGTGCCAAGGCTGGCTCATTTTTAGAAAGTGAAAACCGTAGAGCTTGCATTTCAATAAACCTAAAAGCTTGTGACTGTCAATGTGAAATACTGTACTTCCTCAAAAGATTCCTGAAAGTCAGATGGTAGATGCTTCATCATGCAGTGCTATTTATAGGCTGATTAAACTAGTCACAAGCACATTCTTGAATTGAGTCACAAATGAGGTTGTTTTAACAGAAATAAAGTCTAGCAGTCCACTTTGACGGCTTGAAGGTTTCTGTGCATGATATGCTGCTGGTGATGGGGTTTAGGGCATGGGTGAGGACAGAAGCTGTAATTAAATATAGACGTGCATGATTTGGTGATTCATCAGCAAAACCTGTCATTTCTCTCAGCCGTCAGTGTCATTAACAATGACCTACATTCAGTGCTTAGACCTTCAAAGCTGTTGTGGTTTGTAGCAAGGCAGGTACATCTTGCATGTGTCGAGGTAACAGCAAATGGCTGAGGTACGTTGCATTACTGCTGTAACAAAGCTGTTTCTTTTGAATCACTGTGAATGACAGTTTAATCATTTTATCTAGTGAACAGCCCAGTGGAATCTTTAGCTCCCCAATGCAGGATTACCTGCTTGCTGGCATTCTCTCCTTTCATTGAAGATGACTGGCAGGCCAAAATACTCTGCTTTGTTATCATTAGCAACATAATAAAACCACTTGGTGAGAAAGAAAAAATACATAGGTTGTTCTGGATGGTTACTAATGTGTTGCTAGGTGGTTGCTAGGGTGTTATGGGTGGTTGCTTATCCCTGCAAGTCTTGTGACTGCTGAAGTGTTGCTAGATTGCTCTGGGAACTTTCTAGGGCATTGCTAGATTTTTATGGTTGGCCAGACAAAAAAAAGTCCAATCACTTAGAAATAAACTAGCACATCTTTTTTCAACAAGACCCACTTTTAAGCTATTATGCATGTATGTATGTATTAAAAAATGTGAAATACAAGTTACACTTGAAGACTTTAATACTTAGGATTAGGGGTTTGGAAAGAATTGCAAAGAAATGTACATACAATAGGGCATATACTTTACTATATGCACAGAAGGATGTCATTGCATGGTCATTTAAACCATCTAAACTTGGTTTTGTGGATAAGTCAGTCAGTGCCCCACTTTAAGATGGAGCAGATGGTTCAATAGACATTTCACAGCTGAGTTACCTTCACCAATCTTCATTCGGCCAAGTGGAGTGACAAGACCTGTGGCACAGGGCCAGAGGAGATACACAGCACCTCCTTTGTACACACTCAGAAAAAAGGTACAAATGTCACTGGGGCGGTACCCCGAGGTCAGGACCAGTTCTAGACATTTGGAGGCCCTAGACAAAATTAATGTTGAAGGCCCCCCACCCCCAATAAAAAGCACTTAAAAAAATATGATTCCTGATGATTTCATTTTATTTTTTGTATATTTTTACTTTTACAGTACCGGTCAAAAGTTTGGACACATTACTATTTTTAATGTTTTTGAAAGTCTCATATGCTCATCAAGCCTGGATTTATTTGATCAAAAATACAGAAAATATTGTGAAATATTATTACAATTTAAAATAATGGTTTTCTATTTTACTATAGCCTACTTGACAATATAATCTATTTCTGTGATGCAAAGCTGAATTTTCTTCAGCCATTACTGCTCCAGTCTTCAGTGTCACATGACCCCTCAGAAATCATTCTAATATGCTGATTTATTATCAATGTTAGAAACAGTTGTGCTGCTTAATATCTATTTTATAACCTGTGATACTTCTTTCAGGATTATTTGATAATTTAAAAAAAAAGGAAATTACAATATAAGTCTTCACTACCACTAATTATCAATTTAACACATCCTTGCTCAATATTACTGTTTTTGTCTGTTTTTGATCAAATAAATGCAGGCTTGATGAGCATCACAGACTTAAAAATAGAAATGTGTCCAAACTTTTGACAGGTAGGCCTACTGTATGTACATATTAATCAAACTTAATCTTTATCTAAGGCAGAAAAGAAGTTAATTTCTACTCAGCCGAAACTGAAATTAAGCATTAAATTAGAACAGTAATGTGATCATCAGCAGAATTTAGAAGATACACACATCTGAGGTCCTTTTTTGAAACAAAACAAAAAAATCTAGTGCGTTTGCTTTTTTGACGTCTGGGCGCTCTTTTAAACTCATAATAAAGTGGTGAATGATCAGTCCAGAAATGACGCTGATCGACACAACAAGTTCATATTTTATTATAATACATTGCAATCACTCCAAAACAGATGACGACAACTCACACACCTGCATTAGGAGCTAATGCCGGGTTCAGACTACACAATATTTTTGTCGGTCATGATAGTCACTGTGTCAGATTACACGATTTTGACTCCTAAAATCTTGTGCTGTCGTGGACAAGAAACATGTCAGACTACACGTTGCTTCCCGACCATTCATCGCGTGCCGTCTTTAACGACGGTCGTGATGTCATCGAGAAGGCGGAACTAGCGACTGACTTCCGAAAACAAGAGTGTAAACATTGCTGAAGCGCTTCCGCTATAGTTCGCCAGCATTTTTCTTTCTTTGTTCTGTCGTGGTAGTCCCTCGATGACACATCATACAGGCAGGAGTACTGTTGCCACAGCTCCACGAACCTTTCCTCCATCTCATAATTCCACCAAGCAGCACCATCATCTCTCTTTCGTTTTGCCATGTTTGAAACCTGTGTATGAAAGAGCTTCTGTGCTGCTATTGGTCAACGTCACCAATGTGACAGAACTCATCGTGGACGATGGAAAAAAAATTAAACATGCTAGTCTTTCTGTCGTGAAGCACTGACACACTACACGTGCTGAAACTATGGAATCTTACGTCCTGACGCCCATTGTCGTTTAAGCCCGGTTCAGACTACACGATTTTAGTCCGATTTTGCCACGATTTGCTTGACGTAGGGTGTCGTGGGGATTCGTAAATGAAAATGGGCGTCTGGACGCAACATTTCATCGTTTCAGCACGTGTAGTGTGTCATAGTGGACGACAACCGATTCCGCGTCTGCGATGCTTCATGACATCACGACAGAAAGACTAGCATGTTTAATTTTTTTTCCGTCGTCCACGACGAGTTCTGTCACATTGGTGAC